ACCCGTACTACTAGTCCCATCCTGGCGGCAGCCTCTCGACTCAGAAGATTTTCTGGTGCTGGCGTCACATAAACTGTCACTGGGTATTGTTTTCCTTTGACTGTAAAGTTCATGGTTGCCTTGCCGTGGCATTTCAAAACACCGCCCGGGCTTCTGAGTATTAGAGTCTATCTTGGTCTTCTGTAGAACAGGTCCCGGCTCTAACTCAGCGAACGTCTCTGCCGTCATGATTGAGACGTCTGCACCCGTGTCAATCTTAAATTGCATTTTGTATGTGCCGACAGCTACCTTTGTTTTCCATGGCGCTTCATTACTTTTAGTCTCTATTGACAGTAGGTATGCTTCTTCCTCTTCTTCATCTTCCACTTTTACTTCGTTCATTTTCTTTCTTGTGTGGCACATTTTGGCAAAGATTCTTCTTGGAGCATTCTCTACATGCTTTCCCATATGCCGGACATTGTCGTCTGCCGTGGGATCCCCCACAGTACTGGCAATTACGCACGTCTTGCTGGCCACTGCTTCCTCTGCGTCCCCGCAGAGCGGATCCTCTCCGTGGTTCCCCCATGCACACTCGCATGTTTGAGGGTTCTCGATCCAAAGGATTGAACGGCATCGACATTTGGCAATCTTTGCTTTTTGATTTGGGCCTTTACTTTTTCTGTTTGTCTTGCCATGGTGATAGCTTTCTCAAGGGTTAAGTCAGGCTCTAAGTACTCTAACTGAAGTTTCTCCGACAATTCTGTGTCAGTAATACCCAGGACTAGCCGATCCCTAATCATACTGTCCTTATCTGGGAAAGCTGTATGCTCAGAGAGTTCGTATAAACTTCTGACGTATTCTTCTATGGTCTCTGTTTCTTTCTGACAACGTTTGTGGAACTGAGCTCTCTCATGAACTACATTTCGTTTTGGGCTGAAATACCCATCAAACTTTGTCAGACCTGTGAGGTTTCTCCACGTTATATCCTACTCTTGTGTGGTTCTTCTGTCTCACTCACTCACATCTGATGCTATGTAGTGTAGCAAGGTTCACTTCACCAGTCAAAATGGCCCAAAAAATAACTAGAGACACAGACACAGCTTTATATACACCCCAGACCCTTTGTTCCCAGAAGCCCTGAATCTCAAGACAATGTGAGAACTGCCCATGGAGTGTTTACAATGAAAGGGAAACAACTGATAATACAATGGACAAGCAACTTTGGTGGATTATGGATTATGTCCCATATCATTACAGTTGTACACTGAGACAAAACTGTACTAAATAAGAAAGGTGCACCATTATGAAAGTGGAACAAACTCAGTCGCCTGAAAAGGATAGTTTGAGCATGTGTGGCCTAAGTTAAGTAAGCTAAACCCCCCTCCCTTACCTTATTTAGGCCACTCCCCCTTACATTATTTAGGCCATATGTGGCCTAAATAAGTACTCCCAATTTTAATATTTCCAGTTCTACCGAATCGATTTTCACGCGAATAAAACCATTTTGAGGATCTTTCTTTTCCTTTTAAAAAGATGTAGGCCTATCGGATGTGCCAGTGGCAGTGCGATTAACACTGGGTTGCTTAGACCCATCAAAACACGAGGCTTCGTGGCCGATCACAAAAATCTGTGGGGCGTATCGAGGCCGATTCGCCCTGCCGCGTGCACGTTCACTAAACTGCCTACCACCAGAGCTACTACCAAAGATTCTCTACACGATCTTTGCTACTACCAAAGATAGTACATAACAAGATGGGCCACTCAGCCAAAAACGTGTCCGCCGGAAGTTCGCTCTTTGCTTCAGATGGCGCTGCAGTCTGTTTTGAAGCTCTGTTTCGTTTTTCCAGAAGAAAAATAGGAATAGCACCTCCTTGCGTGCGCAGATCGACTGCTGTTCATCAGCAGTTCGGGTTCGTTCAGTGTGGAGTCTTAGGTGTTTTTTTTTGGTTTGTTTTTTTATGACCTCTCGCTTTTCATTCTAAAGTCAAATTAAACGAAGAAAACAATCACCCTGTCCTCCGGAAGAGGTTTTTTGCCAGCGTAACCATTTTAAAAAAGCGTTCTTCCGAAATTTATTCAAAAATTTGCTAGTTTGACTTTGATTTTTTTAAAACTCAAGTAGGGTAACTCTGTTCGCAAAGGGTGCGCATTTGCAAAGAGGGCGCCACCGAATTTTGAGAACACTTTTTTAATTGGCTCAAAGTGGCCCCTCTTGTTATGTAGACTCTTTGCTACTACTACTACTACTACTACTACTACTACTACTACTACTACTACTACTACTATTACTACTACTACTATTGCTACTGCTACTGCTACTGCTACTGCTACTACTACTACTACTACATGTACTACTACGAAACAGTACGAGAGAGTGCCACTCAGGCAAAGATAGTGTAACTTTGACTCAGCCACATTGTGAACACACTTTTTTTGAAACACCAAATTTGACCCGCAAATCCATTCGGGGGATTTGACCTTTTCAGTTGACCAAAGTGTGCCAAAATGGTAGCCTAGCTTTTGCCCCTCTATGAAGGAAAAATCTGGCCCTCATTCAAACCATTGGGATTGAGCAAAATTTTGCGCATTTGTTCTTACAATTTTCATTATAATTATGATCAGTTGTACACTGAGACAAAACTGTACTAAATGAGAAAGGTGCACAATTCTTTCAGCATGATCTTAGAGTAAGATTTTCTCTCCCTGTCTGTTTAATAATCTTAAGTTACTCGGTAAGACAACTTTTTTTCTCTTATTTTCTCGCCCCCCCCCCCCCCCCCCTCCTCCACCTCACCAAACCTCTAGCTCACTGCCTTTTTTAAAATTGCAAAACTACTGGTAGGCTATAAATTATCACTATAATACACCGTGTATAATAATAGACGACTAGCCAACATGGGGTTCAAACTCTTCAAAGGAGTGGAAACAGTGCGTACGGCTATTGAACGGAAATCTCACTTGATTACAATGGCGTCTTAGAAGACGGACTTTCTCAAGATTGGAACTACTAAACGAAACTAATGAAAAACTGAAAATTAAACTACAGTGGCTTCAGGCTCCTAAATAGAACTGTACACCCTACTTTGAAAGATTCTGAACCACCATTTATTTGGTCAAATTCGAATGTTAAGTGGTTCCGAAGTTTTAGGCCGCCAAAGTGACGAACTATCGCAAATTTATACGTATAAAATCAAATCCATAGATTCGATACGCGTACTTGTTATCTTACTTCAGATGCCATGGGTTTCGAC